TGATTTTCACTTTCATATACAGTACAGCCAAAAACTTTTGCCAGCCGATATTATCGGACCTCCCTAATTAATACCCGTCTTTCAAGCAGATGTATTTATAGTATGTCTCCATCCTAAATTAAACAACACCTCAGTCTAAAACCACAGTCCAACACTCGCTCACCTTGACATCTCCTCGGAGGTCACACTGAGTCCCCACGAGGACAATGGGAGCAAATGGGGCACGACTGCGGATTTCTGGGACCCACTTATCGGGAACATTCTGGAAGGAGACAGGACTGACGACACTAAAACACAGCAGGAAGACATCTACACTGGAGAAACACAGCGAGCGCAGTCGGTCGAACTCCTCCTGGGAAAGACAGAGACGGACACTGTCTTTGAGAGAGTGGCAGATAATTAAATAAAAACAGATTTTTTGTCAACGTGCAGAATTTTGAGCAACCGCTGCAGCAGCAGCCCAGTGTCCTGTCTGTCCCTGGACAATGGGACAATGGAGTCGACGTGGAAAGGAAACAGTGAAAGAAGAGAAAGAGGTGATAAATTCAAAGAGGAGAAGAAACAGGAAAGATTCAGAATTAGACCCACCAGCAGAGCAGGAAACACCACTTCCTCTGTGTCAGGAACTGTGTGTGTGTGTGTGGGAGAGAGAGAGAGAGAGAGAGTGTGTGAAAAGAAAGGGTTAGCTAGGACATTTTTTTCCTGATACTAAAGAAAGGTTTAGCTAGGACATTTTTTTCCTGATACTGAGTGATCTGTTCATTATTATCCACTGAGTAATCATGTTTGTTTCCTGTCCTGTCTAGTCTGTGTGTGTGTGTGTGAATCTGTACGGCTACACTTGTAGGTGTGTTTTTTTGGGGGATGGGGGTGGGTGTGGGGGTGTTGTCAGGACATTTTGTCCTTTTGGAGACATATTTATGGTCCAAACTAGGAGACGAGGCATTTCGAGATATTAAAGTATAATTTGGAGTTAGGATTAGGATTAGGATTAGGATTAGGACTGAGTTAGTGTCGAGGTTAGGATGAAGATGAGACTTAAATGTGTGGTAGTTGGAGTCAAGGTTTAAAAAATGCAAGTCATGAAAACCAGTGTGTGTGTGTGTGTGTGAAAGTGTTTTTTTGTTTGTTTGTTTGTTTGTTTGTTTTTTTTGTTGTTTGTTTTGTTTTTTAGCCTCATCCGTGTAGCGTTGATTCTCCACTATACAAAAAAGTCAGTTTTGTTCGGTATATGATTCAGGATATGGACAAAGAAATAAAGAAGGAAATGCTGACCTTGAGGCATTGTTTCTAACTTAAATAAAGCACTGACAGGAAGTGTGTGTGTGTGTGTGTGATGACATCACCCACCTGCCCAGCTGTATCACAGAGTTGTAGTTTGACCAGCAGCCCCTCCACTGACACCACCACTACACACAAAGCCATAATAAAAAAACACACCCAGTTGTTGGTGTTAAAGAAGGTTCACAGTGATGCTGAGAAGTAACATGTGGATGTTGTTGACCAGAGGAGGGCGCTCTTCAACTTTTTTTTAATGGATTATACTGAATCCTGTTTTGTTCAGTAATATTTACTTAAATAAGTTGCATATAAGTGAGTTTTACTTTGTTTTTTTCTACAGAAAAAAAACACAATGTGGCAGAAAACACTAAATACTAAAAAAAATAAAACATTTCTGTCGTCTGTGCTTCACCTGAGAAGTTGTCGTAGGCGGTCGGGACATACTCTGTGGGGTAACCGTTGGTGGTGTAGCTGACCACCAGGCTGGTTTTCCCCACAGCTCCGTCCCCCACCAACACGCACTTCACCCGTCTCTCCTCCGCCACCGCCGCGGCTCCTGTCATGGATTTCCCGGTTGTGCTCGATCCCCTTTCCCGCGGCTTCTGAGCTTTTCTCCTCGGTGGAACAGGCGGCGGAAAGAGAGACATCGGTGCCGCGGAGCTGCCATCGTCCCCGGGAAGCATCAGGACACCGAGGACAATTTTACATCTTTGTTTTGACCCTGTTGTCCCACCGTTGACTTCGTTGTTGAAATCCCACAGACAGTTCAAGTCATTGACGGTAGATAAAGTCCGACTCTAGCGAAGAAGTCAACCCTAACTGATCTGTTTACTACAATGATAAGGTGACGTCAGAGGGTCAGTGTCAACTCCAGACACATCCTCTCTCTCTCTCTCTCTCTCCCTCTCTCGCTCTCTCTACTTTTTTTCTGGTCAGATTTTAGACTCGTTGTCATGGTTGCTATATTTTTTTCCCGTACTTTTAGCCATTTCTCACTTCTTTATTTTATTTTTATTTTATTTTGTTTATTACCGTGTCATCGATTACGGTGTGCTTATTTTATAATATAATATTATTACATTATAACATCTAAAACACTCTACAATAAGGAATTCTTGGAGTCGGAACTATTCGTCTTCCGTGTTGTTTCCTTACGGACGCTATTCGCGATCGCGCCACGTGTGTTTTGGTGACAGGTCTTGTTACAGAAGTCAGACTTGTACTGACAGTAGTACAGTATATTTGTTAACTCGGACAGGTCGGTGTCGTTTACGGCAGTATGTCCGCTGATAGTAACGTGTCCGCGGCTGCGGAGGTTGTTCTGGGTTTCCTGGAGGAGGCCGAGCGCTGGCGGCTTCTCTCGCCGCAGTTCCCCAGTAAAGTTGGTGGGAAGCCGGCGTGGCTCAGCCAGAGAGGCCTGCCTTCGGCGGAGGAGCTGGAGTGTGAGACCTGTCACCTTCCCATGGTTTTTCTGCTGCAGGTCAGAGAAGTTTTTCTGTACAATTAAATCTCCCAAATAAAGTGGTTGATTTTTAAATGACGTTCTGCTCATGTTTTTCATGTTTATTCTTGTAAAACTTCGAAAAAAGTGGACAAATATATAAACGGCGTTTATATGCGCATTAAAAGGGTAATATATATACACACATGCATCTATATATTACATATATAGAAAAAAGTAATGATTTTTTAAATTATTTTACACATTGCAAATACATTTATTTCTTGATTTGTTGAAAGTAGTTATATATATATATATATAACCGATAAAGTTTTTATATATTTATTTATATAGTAAATGGTACATTTTTTTCTTGCTCAATTTTTTTTTCTTATTTTCATTTCAGGTGTACGCACCCATCTCTGGTCAGGACAGGAGTTTCCACAGATCTCTGTTTCTCTTCTGCTGCCGGACTCCTGAGTGCTACACACACAACAGCAACCACTGTATGAAAGGTGTGTCAATAATCACCAACAACTGTTACGATACAAAGCTGTCTGAATATTGAAAACAATTCACTTGTCTTAAATCTTCAATAAGTCATTTATAAATGACAACTTTAGAATATTTACAGTTGCAGTGAATGTGTGAAAAGAACAGGCTTATGTTTGTGTTTGTAACTTTTTAAAGTATTATTATTATTATGATTAATATGATAATTATTATTATTCAGTTTTTAGAAGTCAACTTCCCAGGAAGAATGAGTTCTACTCCTATGACCCTCCGCCAGGTCTGTAACCACAGACGTGTTCTTCTTGTCTCTACTGCAGAATACTGTGTTCTTTTTTTTGTGGCATGGATTTGATTGGTCAATGTCATTTCAGAGGAGGACCTTCCCAGCCACCCTGAGTCTGACCAGGGTGTGTTGCCTGTTTCTGGGATTAAACTCTGTTGGGTGTGTGGTTCCCCCGGGAGCAAAGCCTGTTCTCGGTGCCACGCAGTGACTTACTGTGGAAAACACCACCAGACAATCCACTGGAAACACACTCACAAGACCCAGTGTGGCAGTCGAGGTGCGTGTTTGTTTCACTGTCGCACGTGGATAAAAATGCATAGTTGTCTTGTAGTGTCAACGCAACAATTTCTTCACAACAAATACTGAAGTGCTTTCACCACTCTGACATTTGTTTCTGTGGTCGTCTTTGTAGAGGCCTCTGAAAATACAACTTCTTCCTTCCTTTTCCCTGAATCTGAGTTGATCACTGAGCCTGAAGAAGATGAGGAGGCAAGAAAAGAGGACGGGGAGGAAAGAGACACTGAAGAAGGGAGTGATCAGAGGGATGTGGATTGCCCGTCGTTGGCAGACGGTAAGTTTTTAATAATATGAAACAGACACACTGGGTAAAAAAAGAGACAAACATGATCCTTCATCGATTCATTTTCATGTAATTTCTGTAGCTCTGCCAGAGAAAGACCTGGAGGAGATGGCGTTGGGTGAGACAGAAGACATGAAAATGTTTCAGAGGTTTAAAAAGAGGATTTCATCAGAACCACACCAGGTAAATAAAAATAAAAATCAAATCTAAATGTAAAGACAAAGATCAGGATGTCACTCAACCATACGTGGCTTCATTGTTGTTGTTGAAGGTGCTGCGGTACAGTCGGGGCGGTTGCCCTCTCTGGGTTTCATCTCAGCACATCCCATCGGAGCAAGATATCCCAACATGCACCTGTGGTGCCAAAAGGACTTTTGAATTTCAGGTAGTAACTGATTTCTTCACACTGCGTGGTTCTGACTTAGCGTTTGTAAATGTGTCTGGAAGTTAAGCCCCATAAAACTTCAGTTTGTTTTTGTCTTCGTCTTCGTGCAGGTGATGCCCCAGCTGTTAAACAGTCTCTCCGTGGACTCCACAGGACTGAGCATCGACTGGGGCACTCTGGTGGTCTACAGCTGTTCTGTCAGCTGTGATACCCAGGTCCAGTACTGCCCAGAGTTCATCTGGAAGCAGGACTTTAATGTGGATCAACACACAGAGATAAAACCGACTGTTTGACCGTAACAACACCGAGTTAATGTTGCTACGACTGTGATCGCTCTATAACATAGACCTCCACCTTCATGGTTTGTCTGAGAGTTTGTTTCATTTCACTGAGGTGAAAACTGAACTTATAAACAATGGACTCTGAAGAAGACTTTTTTGGTTGACGTACCAGCCGAAAACTGTTTTGTCATTTAACCAGGATGAACGTCCATCGTAACCTCAACACATGCACAGTGAAGCTCATGTTAAACAGTCATTTTAAACAAGAACCAGTGAGTCTCCTGAATGTTACAATGTAACTATAATGTCCATTTATTTTGTTTTATTATTAGTGCTTAAAAGAAGTATTACATATATATGTATATGTATGTATACATATGTGTATATGTGTACATTTATGTATATATGTATACATATATGTACATGTGTATACATACAGTATATATGTACATATATATACAGTATATTTACACATATATGTACTGTATATATATATATATATGACATGTCTTATTCCTCATCATTTTTCCAGCGTCTTCCTTCCTTTTTTCCCAGCCATCTTATACCAAAAGCTTCAAAGCCGTTGTCTTCCGGTTCTAAGAACTACAGTCTTTACACAGTGGCATAAAGTCAACATTGAATAAAACATACCTTGAATTTACATAAAAGGAAAATCTAAAGACTGACTGTTTCCTTTAATGTCTGATTGGTATTTTATTCCTTGTCACAGCTTTTTGTTGTTTTGTTTGTTTCTATGGCGGTGTTTGATCTCCTGTGATTAACAGCTGCTACCTTAGCACAGAGGAAGAGGAAGAAGAAGAGCTGCAACATTACAGAAAACAAAAGTCCAGGTGAAGCTCAAACACAGTAATGACGAGGCATCAACAAAACAGGAGATGAAACAAAGGACAAGGAGGACAATGAAAACAATGTCATGTGACCAACCTGTCTTTAACTCTGGGAGAAACAGAAGAAAGAAAGAAAGTTCAGTGAAGATACAACACAAACGTCAGCTCTTATTACTGTAATTTAAATCCTTTAAATTTTACACACAAACATTTTTAAGTGAACTGACAATGTTGAACGAACACAAGAGGAGGACGACGTCTCCTGAGGCCTCGCAAATGGAGTTAAGGGCGAATAGAGCCAGGACGTACGCGTCCAGATCGTCCAGGTGATGGACGTTTCTCGATCATTTGCTCCGACCTTATGTTGTAACATAATGTGTAACATTTATCTTCTGTGGTAGTGCCAGAAGTTTGTCTCCGAACAACTCCTCAACAAATCCCAGGATCTTCGTTCCTCCCAAACCATCCACCAGGAGTCGCTCCAGCCCGTGGCCGTCCCTGTCTTTTGGGCCCGTGAAAGAACCCAGTGATTTTGTGAAGGAAGTTCTGCTGAACACATCTGACGGTGCCAACAACCCCAGAGCGCTGGAGGTCATCACACTGTTTGAACAGTTACAGGTACTCTACAAATCAAACAGTCTGACCTTAATCATAGAGGAGCACTTTTTATACAGCAGGTGGCAGCACAAGGTGTTTTACATATAGTGGTTCCATTTTCTAACACAGGTGTGAGCAAACTTTTTGGGCCACAGTGGGTCCTAAAATTTGATGGGGGGCGGGTCAACAGCAGATAGGTGCAGTTAGTAAAGGCTAAAATGCTTTTAGCGTTTTTTATGCCATCTATTGGGGAAATGTGGGCATTGCAGTGGGAAGGCAGAAATGCTGTATAATGAATATAGAAATTAATAACTTAATTTAGTCCTGATTAAAAAGCCAAATGGGCTTTATTTGCCCATGCTTCGTGTAGTGGTTAGCATTCTTGCCTTGGAAGCAGAGAGTCCTGGGTTCGATTCCCAGAGGTGCCAACAACATGCTTGATTGTTAATGCTCTTCTATTGAGTTTCCCCTGTTTGTTACTTTTTCTTCACACCATGTCTTTTCTGATGCTGCAGCTCCTCCTGTTTGTTACTTCTTTCTCCTCACACCATGTCTTTTCTGATGCTGCAGGCAAACAACAAAAAACTGCAGTCCATGTATGCTGAGGCCAAAAACACCATTGATTCTTGTCGTATGAAATCAGAGGTAAATGATGAAGTGAGGCTTTAGCTGACCTACAGTACTGTTATGGGATCCACTGGGTTTTAATGGTAGTAATAAAATAAATACTCATCAGTTAATCTAATTATAGTACGTAACAGAACTTTACCAAGACGCTAATAAAGAAAATCCAACAACGTCTGTGTTTGGAAGTTCATGACCCTGTGATTGTTTTCAGACTCAGGACCCGGCGCTCGTCTCGGCCTCTTGTCCAGATCAACACTGTGTTCATTTTGGTAGGTTTCACCACAGCAGAGTTGAATTCACTCTGAGGTCAGAATGTAACATGTTTGTTTGTGTGTTTTTTTTTCTTCCTTATATTAAATGATCAGTTTTTGTTTCTTTTTTCTTCCTTATATTAAATGATCAGACCCCAACACTGAACAAAGTCTGGTTCAGAGTCTCAAAAGTCAAGCCAACACTTTGGTCCAGCAGGTGACTGACACTGTGACAGATGTTCTAAACCTGTTTGTTAATGACAGAAGTGTCTGAAGGGAAATGCCTTTGTTTTGTCTTTCACACTCAGCTGTACACGTTTCTGGATCTACTGAGAGAAAAAACATGTCAACCCTCTGAATACATAAAGGTAAGAGAAAACTGAAAAGCTGTTTAAGCTGGAATGGACATCGACTTTGGTGAAAAATGTTTTAAATTAATGTTCACGGGTGACATATTTCTGGTTCTTTTGGTCGTTACTACCTGGGTTTCTCTTTGTCAGATTAACTTTTGAGTTTTAACTGCATAAATGAAATGAGAAAAAACATTTCAACACCGTCCTGCAGGGTCTCCTACAGCTTGTTGAAGAGCTCAACGCCTTGGAAAAGCGCTACCTAATCAGGAAGGTTGAACACGAACTCCATCAGCAGCAGTGTAAAAACATAACAGCATTTGACAGTGAACGGTGAGACATACTGTACACTCAGGAAAATAGGAATAATAGATGGTAGAATTTGAAACTTTAAAAATCTGCCTGGATTCAAGATAATACACAATAGATGTTAGAATTTAAAATTTTAAAAATCTGCCTGGATTCAAGATAATTTTCTAGAATTTTTTATCACATCCTTAAGTTTGAAAAGCTCCAGACTGGAGGTCATTGTACATTTTAACCTGTGTCCTGTTCCATTTCAGGGCCTTAGAGCAGCTGATCTCCCAGCTGAGACTTCACATGGAAGGGTTGAAGGAACAGGTGGAACACATGTTCCAGGAAAATACCACCAGGGTGCTAACCCCGTCTCAACACCCTCAACCGTCACCTCCCTCTGTACGAACGGATGTGGAAGAAACTTGGAAATACTCACAGGTAAAAAAAATCTCCACAGGGCTGTGGTTCTATGTTCTGGTCATCACAACAGTGTTTTTTTAAATTTTTTTTTTTTTTTTCTCAAAGGGGGACAGTGCATTTGCTGGCTCTGAGAGCGTCCGATTGACTCCTGCTGCAGCTCACCATCCTCACCACCAGATGTCCTCGCAGTGGTACTGCTACAAATTATTTTTCTTAAAACGAGCAAAATAGATTTATTATTATTATTATTATTATTATTATTATTATTATTATTATTATTATTGCTACTGCGTGTAATTCAATTTTACTATTTTTAATGATTAAAGCAGATCAGGATGAATGGTTATGCGCTTTATTTGAACTAAATCTAACTGCATTTGCACCAGTGACCTGGGGCAGCTGCTACACCACTTCACTCTGTACATGACCAACCTCAGAGAGAGGCTGGAAAAGGCTCTACAGGAGCAGCCTGCCCGGACGGTTCCTCCTCCATCTCATCAACCCAGGCCTTCACCTACTCCTCCAGATAAGGACAAAACATGGAGGCTCTCAAAAGTCAAACACCCGTTATTACACCCAGAGACCAGGCAACAACGCTCTATGTGGGTCGATCCATCTGGGACTGAACCGAACTACCAGGAATCCCCCGCTGACAGCAGCGTACAGTGGAGCAACGCGACAGATTCACCGCCACATGGACCATCCGTTCAGTCTCGGCCAACCTCAGCCATTCCTCCAGGTCACAAATGGCAGAATGACTGGAGGAAATCCAACTGGAACGGTCCTGGCCACCAGATGGCGGCACAATCGTGAGTCTACACGCACACGCTGAAATAAACGATACAAAATACAAAACGTCTATGATAGTTGCGGTTAGCCTGATGAGGTTTCGCGAAACTGTTTCAGATTTTTTTTTTACTTTTATACAATGATAATAATAATATTATTAATTCAGTCTGATTTCCTGCAGGGCTGATCGGAGATCCTTAACTGAAGAATTTCACGAATTCAGTCGAACAGCCTGGACTCCACTGGTATAACCCTCTGTCATGGATCAAAACCAACAGAAATAGTGAGTAGATTAATGGTGAAAAGTGGCAAAAATAATTGATCAAAATTAGCATTGCTCTTGCTGTGGGTGGCCCTCGGTCATTTCTGTGTTATGTGTTTCTCCATCAAAGGGTCTTTGTCTCCTTGTGGTCATGGGCAGAAGACAATGGAAGAGACGGTGTTTTCAACTGAAAGGTTTTACACCACAGGAGTAAAAGCTCTGCTCACTTTCTGTTCAGAGGAGTGCAAAAGTTGAATTTTAGATTTATTTTTGATGTTACCCTAAGTTCAGTTTTATTGATATATTCTTCATTGATATATATATATATATATATATATATATA